AGAGAAAGAATGAAAAAGAGAGAAAGAGAGAGAAAGAATGAAAAAGAGAGAGAGAAAGAAAAGGCCCCTGAGAGGACAGCAAGCCGAGGGGAAGTGGGTGTGGGGGGTGGTGACTGCAAGAGCAGGGAAGCTTTGCTGCGAATGCTTTGGAGAGAGAGCACATGGAGCCCGGGGTACAGTTTGGTCTCCTTACCCAATGAAGGAGACTGAGAGGCAGAGCTTGGGAGATGGCTATGAGGAGTTTCTTCACCAGACGGTGACGAATCATTGGAATTCTCTCGCCCAGAGGCCGGTGGAAATTCCGTTATCGAGCAGGTTCAAAACTGAAGGCAATGGGTTTGTGGAGACTATTGACAACAAAAGGACATGGAGCTAATGGCCTTATGGTAGATGAAGAGCTCGTGATCTGTTTCAAAGGCAGAGGAAGCTCAATGGGCCATGTGACCTGGTTCCTCCCTTCCCCAGATAGAGGGGAAACAGAAAGAAATATTGAAAGAGAGGCTGAAGAGAGACAGAGAGAGAGAATGGAGAGGGAGTCACCATCGTGGCATACCTGGGTGTTCAACAATGTCATCTGTGTTTGGACTTTCTCGAGTTTCTGCCTCAACTCTTCTTTCTCTTCATTCATGCGTTCTCGGTCACTCCGCTCCCGCTGAAAATCTTCTTCAAATATTTTCACCTGAGGAGGCGGAAAGCTCATTGGTGTCAGGAGTCCAGCCCCTTCTTATTTCAGACCCCATCACGTCCCTCCCTGACAGCTCCATCCCAGATCCCACCCTGCCCCGGGGCTCAACATGCTCCAAAAACAGACACGGTCAAGCTCCGAGGAAGGTGAGCAGGCAAACTTCCATTGGTGAAAGAGGACACCTTGGAATAGTCAGGGTGCTTTCCTCAGAGCTGGAGAGTCCAGAACTAGAAACGCAGAGGTCTAAGGCAAGAGGAGAAAGATTTGATTTGGACCCAAGGGGCAGAGGGTGGTGCGTGTATGGAATGAGCTGCCAGAGGAAGTGGTGGAGGCTGGTACAATTACAACATTTAAAAGGCATCTGGATGGGTACATGAGTAGGAAGAGTTTAGACGGATATGGGCTAAATGCTGGCAAATGGGACTAAGTCAATGGGGGAATTTTAATTTTGACACTACGCTGGGCCATTATTGTTAAGAGTAGAAGGAGGATCTTTTAATATTGTGAAGAATATTAATCAACCCGGATTGGGAAGAGTTTAAAAAGCAAAAAGGCTACCAGGAAAGGGAGAAAAATAAATTGAGTAAACTAGCTAGGATTACGAAAACAGATTGTAAGAGCTTTTACATGCACAGAGAGAAGTAAGTAATAAATAAGTAATAACAGATAAGTAAAAGTGCAAGATAAGTGCTTGTGGAATGGAGTGATGTATTAGCAAGGAGAGAGACTCGATTAAAGGAACAGAAGCAGGGAGAAGGGGTGAACAACATATTTTGGAGTTGGCCAGTAGAGGGCTATTTACAATCTATATTAACGACATTGTTACATTATTTTTGGTCTGTGCTTTTTAAAAAAAAACACGTCTGCTCATGATGCAAAGCTAAGCAGAAAGGAAAGCTGAGGGGAGGACACGGAGAAGCTGCAAAAACATATCGATAGGTTAAACACCACATGACAGACAGACGGACAGAATAGCCCTGTGGGAAAGTGAGAGGGAACTCTCTTTGTCTGTAAGTATGTTACAAGAAAAATCAGGATTTTTAAAAAGATGTGAAACTTGTAAAAGCTGATATTTACACAGGTGTAGATGTACTTGTTCCAAGGAACACAAGTTAGAAGCAGCAAACAATTAGGAAGGCAACATTACCTTGGCCTGAAGTGGGAGGGGATTAGAGTAAAAGAATAAATTGATCCTGTGGACCTTTACAATGACCGCACCTGGAATAGCGCGGGAGAAGCTGGCTGCTTATCCCAGCTTTGCAGTATTGGTTTAATCCTCAAACTTCCACTCCCCCCCCGTCACACACAACTCCATCCAGCACAGCTCCTCCCCACGATTCAGTGACCCCTTTGTAACTCGCTGCTTCTGTCCACAGCATGTACTGTGCCACGTGCTCAGGGAGATGGATCTCCGTTCAATTCTAATGAATAACTGAGTGCTCTGTGCAGACTCCAGAGTACGGGCACTGCTCCTCACAGCTGGAGTGCATATCCATTCCTCCCTGATCCATCTCCAACCTCACCGACTATTCCCCACCCAACTCCACAGCAGCTTGTTGTACATCACCTTGGGAAGGGGCGGGGCGGGGCGGGGCGGGGGGGTGTGGTGTGGGGGAACAAGAAGTGTAAAGGTTTAGAGGGCGGAATGCCAGAGACCAACACAGAATGTAGGAGAAATACAGTAGGTCCTGGCAGCATCTGTGCAGAGGGAAACAAAAAGTTAATGTTGCGAGTCCAATGTAGCTTCACAGAATCCCTACAGTGTGGAAACAGGCCCTTTGGCCCAACAAATCCACACTGACACTCAGAGCATCCCACCCAGACCCAGCCCCCTATAAGCCACCTAATCTACACATCCCTGAACACTACGGGCAATTTCCCATGGCCAATCCATCTAGCCTGCACATCTTTGGACTGTGGGAGGAAACCGGAGCACCCGGAGGAAACCCACGCAGAATGTGCAAACTCCACACAGACTGTCACCCGAGGGTGGAATTGAATCTGGGTCCCTGGTGCTGTGAGGCAGCAATGCTAGCCACTGAGCCACCGTGCCACCCCAATGCTTTGAGCCAAGCAGCTAAAGGTTGAGGAGGAGTGTTGGTTCAGAGAAGATTTTGCAGAGATGGAGAGGGGTTTAGGGCCCAGCCTGGTAGTGGGGAGGGAGAGCGGGAGCAATGAGAAGAAGTGGCTACAAGAACATAAAATTAAATATAGAGAGAAAATAAAAAAGGAAGTTTGCGATCATCTACTCACCTGCTGTTTGAGCACCTCGATCTGGGTGAGGAGCTCAGTTCTCCTCGCACTCATACATGAATCACCAGCATTGCTGAACAGAGCCAGCTGTGGGCTTGATGGCTGGACAGCTAGAGCCTCACCCAAGGCCTGGGGAAAGATAGAGAGAGAACGTCTGCTCAGAGGGCTGTCTGTCACTTCCAGGAGGGGGGTTAGCTGGGGAGTTGTAGTGGTGGGGGGTGTGGGGAAGAGAGATGGGGGTTGTACATATGTGTGTGCATGTATCTGTGTGCACGCATGTGCATGTGTCTGTGTGTGAGTGTGTGTGCCCATCAGTGTGTGTGCACGCACACGTGTGTATGTGTATACCTGCGTGTGTGGGAATTCCGGAATCGGAGGGTCACACAGGGAGGCTGGTAACTGACCTTGTTGAGGCGCTGAATTTCCTTCTCCTGGTATTCCCGCTGTTTGGTGAGGGGCAACAGCTGGTTCTGCAGACACTGGTTCCTCTGTTTCAGCTCCTTAATCTCTGCCAGACATCTTTCCTTCTCACTCTGAAGGTCAAAGAGAGAGACAGATAAAGGATTCTCAGCGGATATCTGCAGTCCCATTTATTTAGCACCCCCTTACATCTCAGGCACCTCCGACAAAGTGAACCACTGTGTCGAGGGACACTGAGACAACAAGAGAGAGAGACACAGACAGAGAGAGAGAGAGAGAGAGAGACACAGACAGACACAGACAGAGAGAGAGAGACACAGAGAGAGAGAGAGACACAGACAGACACAGAGAGAGAGAGAGAGAGAGACACAGACAGACAGAGAGACAGACCGTCAAATAATCAGAGATCACTGCCTCCCAGAAGGAGGCCATTTTGTCCGTAAATTAAAAAAGACACTTCACGTACGAGAGAGAGCGAGAGACAGAGACAGAGAGAGAGAGAATGTGAGGGAGAAAAAGTACGACAGATGTAGCAGCTCTGCTAGTGAAATAATTTACAGAAATACAAAATCATCCGGCTTGTCCACTTTGACAAGACTTGTTCTCCAAGTGTTTCTGAACTTTGTGGCTTTGCAGATCACACAGACTCAAGTTTTAGCCCCTATTAAAAACAATTGTCCCACCTCCTGAGAGCAAACAAGAATCTCAAACTGATACAAAGTCAATTCCAAGGGCATGAGGGGGAGATGACCAGTTTTATTGGGGGTAAATGGACTAAAAATAGGAGTGACAGTAAATAGTGAGAACTGGACAAAGACATGATTCAAAATATGCACCAAAGTACATTGCATAAAAACAAAACAGCTCAGCAAAAAAAAAAATCCAACAGTGCCTGACTAAGGAAGTTAAGGATAGCGTTTGATTGAAAGTACAGGCGTTTAATGTTGATAAAATTAAAAGCAGGTCTGAAGATCAGGAATGTTTTAGACATCAATCACCAAAAGCTGATAACAGGCAAAAAAATAGAATGAGAGTAAAATAGCTGGAAATTAAAAACTATCGCCTTCCTGCTCCTCTGATGCTGCTTGGCCTGCTGTGTTCATCTAGCTCTACACCTTGTTATCACAGATAAGAAGAACTTTTACAAGAATATGTAAACAGGAGGGGAGTAAACAAAGTAAATGTTGATCCCACGGAGGCAGAAATTGGAAAATGATCCTGGGGAACAAGGAAATGGGAGAGATATTAAACAAATATTTTATGCTTTCCTTCATTGTGGAAGATGGTGACTAGTCGTGTTTAAGGAAGTTATAATACCTTGGTGGCAATAAGGCAGATCAGTTCCTGGGATAGAGAGTTGTCCTAAGGTGGGTGACTGAGCAAATTGGGCCTTTAATCTCGAGAGCGTTGATGAAGTGATCTCTTTGAAGTGTACACAGTCCTGAAACAGCTCGACAGGGTATACACTAACGTTATTTCTCCCTGACTGGAGAATTGCAAACTTAAAAGGGCCACAGCCACAGGATAAAAAGGGGAAAAATCCCTTTCGACTAAAGAGGAGAAAATATTTCCACAGAGGGGCTGTGAACTTCTGGAAGTCTCGACCCCAAAGGGTCGTGGAGGTTCCACTGTTGTTTATATTTAATGTTGGGGTAGATGGAGGTTTGGACTTTCAGGGAATTATGGGATATGTGGAGTGGATTGGAAGGCAGATGGAGATTGACGATCAACCACGTAGTCTTACTGAAGGGAAGGACCTACTCGAGGTGCCTCATGGTCCACTCCTGCTCTTATTTCTTATGCTGTGCGTGTGCAGTGCAGCCGTAGGGACTCTGTACCTCTCCACTCTCAATCTTCGACTTGGCCAGCAGTAACTTCCTGTCAAAGTCCCTCTGTTTTTCTTCACAGCCACTCTCACGCTCACTCAGTTCCTTCTGGGACATAGCCAATCGCTGCCTCAGCTCCACAATCTGAAATCAAATGGAGAACATTTACCAGAACGAGCGAGCCTTCCTTCTCTGTATTGCTCACAAAGCCAGTGTTAGCTGGCCATCCCCTAAACCTTCCTTCAAAAAGCATCTCAGTGCCGTTCCTGACATCTGAGTGGGGTTTTTAAAACCCTCCTGGGGGGCAGTTACGAGGCAATCACATTGTCACATAGACCAGGTGAGGACAGCAAACTGCCTTCCCTGAAGAAAGGATATTAATGGATCAGGGGAAGGCCCTGGCCTAGTGAGATTGTCACTAGACCGTTAATCCAGAGACCCAAGTAGTGTTCTAGGGACCTGGGTTCGAATCCTGCCATAGCAGATGGTGGAATTTGAATTCAATTTAAAAAAAAAATCTGAGATTAAGAATCTAATAATGACCACTGCCATGTGTTGGGGAAAATCCCATCTGGTTCACAAATCCCTTTTAGGGAAGGAAATACTGCTGTCCTTACCTGGTCTAGCCTACATGTGACTCCAGACCCACAACAATGGCATGGACTCTTCAGTGCCCTATGGGATGGGCAATAAATACTGGCCTCACCCCCGTGGATGTATAAAAAAAGTAATAATTGCTTTTTATTTCAGAGTTGCAGAATGACAGAATTGCTATAGCATAGGAGAAGGCCATTCAGCCTATCGTGTCTGCACCTGTTCTATTTCTTGCTGCAACTCACCTGTCCTTTCCCCACCCCCCTGCACATCCAACAAACATTCAATCCCCTCCTGAATGCCTCCGTTGAAACTGCCTTCACCGCATTTCAGTGAAAAGGGTTTTATCTCATGCTGCGTTGGTTTTATTTGCAAAACACAAAGTGTTTAGAGAGGGTAGTAGGAACTGCAGATGCTGGAGAATCTGAGACAACAAGGTGTAGAGCTGGACGAACACAGCAGGCCTACTTTCTGAAGTAGGGTCTAGGCCCGAAACGTCAGCCTTCCTGCTCCTCTGATGCTGCTTGGCCTCTTTATGTTTAGAGAGGGAACAGTTTTGCCCTATCCTCCCCGGCCAGGCCCCTCACAACTCCGAAGAAGTTACTATCAAGTTGTCCCTCAGCCTTCGCATTTCCAGGGAAATGTGCCAATGTCTCCAGTGTGTGTAGTCAATATTACATGGATTAAAGGGTTATTTAAAGAGTGGGACACATTAGTCACGCTTTGTACTGATTTGAGCAAAGTTCATGGAGTTCCATGGCGATGAGTCAATGGAGTTTTCCTTCCAAACACTGCCACCCAGTGGAAGGCAGTAGAACTTTCTAGAAAAACCGTGATTTTTCAGGCCACTACAACAAGTATATACCACCTCTAATACAATGAAACACCCCACCCCCAAGTCACTTAAAAAGGGGCAGGCATCAAATGGCATTTGGCGCTGAGGTACATAAGCAGATGCCCTTTGGAAGGTTGGTGCAGACTCAAAAAAGGGCCGAATGGCCTCTTTCTGCACTGTAGGGATTCTATGAATCTGTGGATTCTATGATCCAAGATGCTGTCCGAATATTTCCAGAATTTTCTGTTCATATTTTCAATTCCCAGCATTGGCAGTATTTGTTTCCATACGCTCAACTCTTCCCGTTAGCCCAGTGCAGATCCAAACTGCCTGCTGCATTCGTACATTCCAGCTCGTCTCTCACACCTTTAACAAATACTCATGACTGAATTATGGAGCCCTGGGCCCTCACCTTTTGCTCATACTGTTGCTTCATGTTCCGGAACTGTTGATCCCATTGTTTGTTCACTTCCAACAGCTAGAAATAAAAACACAACAGCAAAATCAGAACACACATCATCCACGAGAACTGACTCATGGGGAGAAATGACAAGCAGAGTTCAAAGAAACGATTGGTGGAGTGGGTCTCATGGGCTACCCTACCCCAGACTCAAATAGAAACCGAGGCGCGAGAGCGAGCGGGTAAGAGTGGGTGGGGGGGGAAGGCCAAGACCAAGTGAAGGAGGGCAAGGGGCAGGAGAATCCAGCTGGGGGGGTAACAGACAGCAATGGGTGGGGGTGGGGGTGGTGGGGGGAAGGGTGAGACAGAATGAGAGATTGGGAGGCAGAGAGAGAGAGAGAGGGGGGGGGGGAAGAGAGAAAGTGAGGTTGGTGGGGGGGGGGTAGAGAAAGGCAGGGGGGAAAATGTGAGAGGGGGAGAGGGGGGGAGGGGAGGGGTAGGGGGTAGGGGGGAGAAAACATGCACTTTATCAACACTTTACCTCCTTCCGCTGCACCTCCAGAGCTGCAACTTTCTTCTCCAGTATTTCCATCATGTTTTTGTCAATAGATTCTTGTTGTTCTGTTGCTTTTGTATTCTTAAAAATGGGGAAACATCAAAAATTCAAAAAACCCATAACACATCCAATGACCCAGCTCAAAGTTCCCTGTTCAGGGGAATAACCAATAATTCAAACATAGGAATTTGCCAGCAAAGGGACAGCATGGGGTTAGCTCCCTCTGTTCTTTTAAATCTGAATGTAAAGCCTCCTTCACAATGTTCCCATCAAACACTCCCAGGACAGGTACAGGGCTGGCTTAGATACACAGTAAAGCTCCCTCTACTCGTTTAATCTGGAAGTAAAGGTCACTCTGTTCTGGTGAGGAAGGGTCACTGGACTCGAAACATTAACTCTGCTTTCTCTCTCCACAGATGCTGCCAGACCGGAGTTTCTTCAGCACTTTCTGTTTTTGTTTCACTTCTCCAGCATCTCCAAGTTCTTTAGTTTATTATAGTAATGTTCCCACTGCTCTATTCAACAGAAAGTAAACATTCCCTCTACACCGTCCCCATCAAACACTCCCAGGACAGGGGCAGCACAGGGTTAGATACAGAGTAAAGCTGCCTCTACACTGTCCCCATCAAACACTCCCAGG